AGAGAGAGAGAGAGAGAGAGAGAGAGAGAGAGAGAGAGAGAGAGAGAGATGTGTACTATTCGAATAGTACACACGTGTGTACTATTTGAACGTGCGTACTATTCGGATTTTCAGGAGCTACTTCGAAAAATCGAGTTTTCCAGGGAAAGTTGAGTAGTACATACGTGCGTTTTGTTCGGGGGAAGACTGTAGCGAGGATAAAATCGACGACAAACCTATGTTGGTTCCCGGGCGGCCCAGCCGGGGGAAGGTTGCCTGGGGCACGGCCCGGGCAGGGTTCCCGGGCAGTCCCAGTGCATAATATTTAAAAAAAAAAAAGAAAAAAATATATATATATAAAAAAATCGAAAAAAAAATGTTGTGTAAAATTGCAATACAAACAACTTTTGGCTGAGGGCCCCTCGAAACTCCTTATTAATTTTAAGATAAAATTATTAAAAATAAATGAGGAACCACGAGGTAAGATAAACCCTTTTAAACCCCTTTAGTCAATGTTTACACCCCCCAAACACCCCAGTGGGTGATGCATGACCAAAATGGAAGGTAAGACCATTCTGACTGCTCAGGCCAAGCGCAGTCCTGGGCTGAAGTCAGTTTTTTTTTCTTGGGATCCTGGCCTCTATTTTGACCTGCCTGGTTTTGCCGGGCGACCCCCCCCGCCCCCTGCCCAGCCCCCGGGTGTGCCTGGTCGGGCATCCCTGGCCGGGCGATGGCCCAACATAGCTGCAAACTCTGGTTTATACAGACTAAGATCCTTACATTCACACTGTGGAAAAGCGCAGCAGTCCCTGTAGCCAACCAAGAGCCGAACCACATACTTGCCATACCTTTGCCCGACGGCACGATACACGCGTTATGTCCAACGTTCACCTTCAGCCCCGGGCGAAGCTACACTACTCGCAACGGAGGAGCAATGACTTGGAGTCTTCGAAGTTCAAACTCGATTGTGCATAGTGAAGCATCTCCAGTCTCCTTGATTTGATGCGCTTCTTCGTCAGCACCACTCCTTCCGCTGCACTGTTGTCCCTTATTGCCTCACATCTTCCTGTGTTCAGCTCTCTTTCTTTTTGCATTTCTGCCGCAAGCTCCCGCTGACTCTCCTCTCCCATCTTCCCACTGCATGAGGCATCTCCCCTTCCTCTGGGGATCTTCTCCCCTCCGCCAGCTGGCACTCGTATTGCCGCATAGGTGGCACACGGGTCAGCTACCATACTTGTAGCAGTAGGATAACAACCACAGAAACCCTTGCTGAACACCCCACCCCAATGATAGCTCCTTCCGTTCCCTTACAGTGCCAGCCCGTGACGTGGGAAGTCACAGCACGAAGCAGTCCCTCGTCTCTCTCACATCGACCTTCCATGCAATACCCCACCCACTTCCTTGGCTGGTGTCGCATACCAATATGGTGCAGACCAGAACCCAGAACCGACCTCTCACAGATGCAGTAAAGATAGCACAGTGGAAGACTGAAATACCAATAATCAGACCCGATCAATGTCGTGACACAGACTGAAGGGAGGGAGGAGAGACGAAGAGGGGGGGAAGAAGGAGAGATGTCGCCAACCCAAAATGTCGTCGATACCGATCCCAAAACAGTCACCCACAATGTCGCTGCTCATATGTCAAGTCTGAATCTCAATGTTGCCAAGTCTCAATGTCGCAAATCTCTCTCTCTCTCTCTCTCTCTCTCTCTCTCTCTCTCTCTCTCTCTCTCTCTCTCT